TTTTGGATTTTAGCAAAGCTTTTGATACTGTCTCTCACAGTATCCTTCTGGATAAACAGTCCAGCACACAGACAGACAAGTCCATAATACATTGGATGAGCAATTGGCTGATGGGTCGGGCTCAAAGGGTTATAGTAAATGGGGTTACATCAGGCTGGCGGCCAGTCACCAGTGGGGTTCCCCAGGGCTCAATTTTAGGGCCAGTGCTCTTTAATATTTTTATAAATGATCTGGACGCAGGAATCGAATGTACATTAAGTAACTTTGCCGACGATACTAAGCTAGGAGGAGCTGTGGTCTCCCTCGAGGGTAGAGAGGCCTTAGAGAGAGAGCTGGATAGACTAGAGAGCTGGGCAATCACCAACCACATGAAGTTTAACAAGAGCAAGTGCCAGATTCTGCACCTGGAGCGGAGTAATCCTGATTATACATACAAATTGGGGGATGAGAGACTGGAGAGCAGCCCTGCAGAAAGAGATCTGGGGGATTGTGTTAATGGCAAGTTGAATATGAGTCAACAGTGTGCCCTGGCAGCGAAAAGGGCCAACAGTGTCCTGTGGTGCATCAAGCATGGCATAGCTAGCCTGTCGAGGGAGGTGATTGCCCCAATCTACACTGCAGTGGTGCAGCCCCACCTCAAGTACTGTGTGCAGTTTTGGGTGCCTCGATATAAGAAGGACATCAAACCATTAGAGTGTGTCCAGAAGAAGGCAACCAAGATGGTGAAAGGCCTCCAGGGCAAGACTTAGGAGGAGCAGCTGAGGTCACGTGGTTTGTTCAGCTTGGAGAAGAGAAGGCTGAGGGGGGACCTCATCCCAGTCTACAACTTCCTCAAGGAGGGCAGTGGAGGGGGAGGTGCTGGTCTCCTCTCTCTGGTGACCAGCGACAGGACATGAGGAAATGGAATGAAGCTGTGTCAGGGGAAGTTCAGATTGGACATTAGGAAAACGTTCTTCACTGAGACATTGGTCAGTCACTGGAACAGGATCCCCAGGGAAGTGGTCACGGCACCAAGCCTGTCAGAGTTCAAGGAGTGTCTGGACGATACTCTTAGTCATATGGTTTAGCTTTAGGTAGTCCTGCGAGGAGCAGGGAGTTGCACTTGATGATCCTTATGGGTCCCTTCCAACTCGAGATACTCTATGATTCTACTTGACAGATCAAAGGTGGAGAAAGCCCCTTGCCTCAGCAGAGGAGACAGAGGAGGAAGAGAATTGCAGGTCCTTATCACACAGGAACAGGAGGATATAATGGAGTAGGAGAATGTGAGAAGACCAGTAGAGAATATTTTTGTGGAACTGAGGACTATTTCAGCAGAGTGGGAAGTGCTCCAGTGCAAGGTAGCGAATTTATGGCTATGCATCCCTGTTGCTTTGGAGGGTTTTGGAGAGAGCAGGTCAAAGTGGGTTGAGAAGGAGTGACTTCTCCATAAAGAATGTAGTGGGCTTGTTCCTTGATCTGCTGACTTTTAACTTCTTCAGGCCTGGAAAAGCTCTTTTTATTTTGCTGATTGATATAATTCCTGTGCATGCACTCTCCTCCCATTTCAGGTGGAGAAAACTGAGCATGAGAAGTGTTGCCTGAAAACAGAGTTCTCGCTGCTTGTTGGCAGCTGAAATGCCAACAGGAACTGGGCGCTGCTCAGAGCTCAGAAGATGGAAGGCTTGCCCTGCAGCAAGAAATACACGTGTTAGTGCCAAGCTGTGTGGCAGAAGTGGAAAGCAAAGCTGGCGAGGTCTGCAGAGGAGAAGGCTGAACTGACAGAGAGACTCAAGAATAGAGAGATGCACTTAGGGGTGCTGAGGGAGGCACAGGTTTCCTGCAGGGGCTCAGAGAAAGAAGACGTGAAGAGGTCAGAGCTGTGGGTTGGCTGGTTGGCAGTCCCTGTCATCCCTAAGGTGGGGGGAGAGGGCAGGAGTCATCATGGGCTGCTATTTCCATAGGACACTGCTTCCCTGGTATCCATCGCCCTGCTGTATAGGTAACTGGGTTATAAGTGAGGATCCTGCTGTTGTGAGGAGGTGGAATCACCAGATGAATCCAAATAATTGATCTGGCTTCAAAGATGCCCTACAGAAAGGCGCTTTGTCCATACTGTGTCTGTCCTATACTGTGGCACCTTGTTGCTGGATCCCTCACACAGTGTTGGGTCTGTAATGGAGACAAGAATGGGATGGAGCAAGGAACCCCAGTGCACATGGTACTCCTGGTAGGAACGGGGATAGCAGCTGGGTGTGTGATGGGAAGTATCAGATCCAGGCTCTTGCCACTGACTCTCCTCTTGGCTTTTGACCTCTTGCCCACAGTGTTATGGAGAAACTGAAGAACCTGCGTATGAATGTGAGCTGGCTTCTCTTCTTCATCCTCCCCCACTTGGAGCTCCAGGATATTAACTTTGAGTCGGATCAGGTGGATGAGATCTTGCAGACCATACTGGAGGAGACAAACCTCATGTTGGAGTAGTCCCCTCTCTCCTGCCACTGTGCCTTTTGCACATGATCGTTAATAAAACCCTGGTTTCTTTACTTGTGCTCTAGGTCATCATTCTATGGGGCAGGGGGTTCTTCTCACCCTCCTCTGGTCTTGCAGGACTGGTATGGCTCTTCTGCTCCCCATTGCTGGGGGCTGGTGTTCCCCAGATGGTGGAAACCCAGAGGCAGTGTAAGCAGAGGGGACTGCAGCATGGGCATGGCTCCGAGCAGAGCCAGGCTGGGTCATGCCTGGCCAGCGGACACCCCCAACAGCCTCTTTGCTGCGCTCCTTAGCAGTCTGGGTTGAGTAGCAGAGAGGCAGGGAGACCCTGGCAGTGGCTGCCCGGCTCCTGGTGTAAGAAATATCCCAGGAGAGTGCAGCCCTGGCACTCCTCTGTGGCCATGCTGGAGTCTTCTTGTGACACACAGCTGACTGGCTTGGGCTAGAGCAGCATGGTGCTGACGTTCAGGATTTGGGCCCTTTCACTCCGGGAAGCAGTCTCGAGTTCATAGGTCTGATCAGCCCACGCAGCAGCTAAACTGGGTCCCTGCCTGTATTTTCCTCGAGTGTGTCTGTTTGTTTGTTAAATAATGTAGCAACACAAGGTTCCTTGAACTAAATTTATCTTCCCATGTAGCTATGGGAACAGTCGGTGGTATGGTGATGCTGGGGCTTGCAGTCAGATCTGCTGCAAGGCTCTGGGCTAGCATGGCTGAGCCCAGCTTCTTTCAACAGATGTTGTCCTGCATGGGAGCTTTGCCTTTAAACTTTCTTTTTAGGCTTATTTTCTTAGATTCTTCTTTAGCCAGCAGCATGACCATCCTTTTAACCTGGGAAATGGTGAGGACAACGGGGTGTTTGGAGGAAGACATGGGGTTCGAGAGCAGCCAGACATGACACAGGGGAGCGGTCGCACTCAGACCAAGGGATGCTGCAGCTCCCTGTCCTGCCTCCAGCATGGTTCATGGGAAGAAACTAAGTGCAAGGGCAAGTGCATATAGTTCAATAGTGTTCAAGCCTGTACTTATTTCCAGCTTAGAAGCTTCCTGAATCAAACATGGTTTCCTACAGGTATAAAATGACTGGCTTAAAGGAGCTGAGGAGAAATCCCCCTTACATTCATTCACTGTCCTCATGCATTCACTGTCCTTTCTGAAGTGTGTTCTCTTGCCCAGATGGTGGGTATGGAGGAGAGGGTGCGTGGGTGGCCAGCACAGTGTAGTTCCTTTGGCTCAAACACTTCATTTGTCCTGAAAAGACACGAGACCATGTGACAGAAACCAGTGGCTTAGGTGGTATCACCAAACATGTATAGTATGTGTTGCCTGAAAGTCAGAGTTGAGCAACACAGCTATGTGGACAGAGAGTGCCCCATCCTGCGTGGTAAGGACTTTGCCATGTCCTTTCCCCCATGGCTGGACTTACACACATTACCACATAAGTTACTTTCACTGTTGCCAGTGGAGATAGAAAGGACGTGTCTATACAACTGTGTTTTTTCTGCAGGTTTTGTTTCTGTAGGTGCTGTAGGTGCTGCCTCTGTGTCTACCATTCCTGATTTCCGGTCTCGTTGAATCCTGTTTCATTTTCAGCTTGTGTTTCTACATCTCAGAGCTGTTTCTGTGACCTCTCTTGACATTTTCAGATTGTGCTGTTTACTGTGTTTTCAGGTCAGTACTGTGGGTGGTAACACTTAAGCTTGAAGGTAGCTCCCTTATCTCCCTCTGTTCATGGTTTGAATATTTCTTATCTCCATTCATGTTTGGGTTTTTGCTTTTGACATCTCGCCAGCTGGTCCTCAAACTGCAGGACTATGCCCCCATCGCATTTAATTTTCAATAGAGCTGTTGAGGAGATTGAATCTGCACCAGGATATCCCAATGAGTCGAAGTTTCCTTTCACAATGTTTGGGGCACTTGCACTAGTTTTTATGGTTTCTGAGGTGCAAAAGAGCCAGCGATCTTGGGGAGCTGTCATGCTTCTGATCATGCTAGGAAGTTTTATCCCAAAAGCCAGTCATCCTTTGAAGCATCTACCTTGGGCAGGGGAAGAGACAGACCTTTATTTTCTTCTCCAAAGCTGCTTCTAAAGCAGGAAATGTCCACACCTCCTTCAGGCTTGATCTCAATGCTCTTCACAGCACATACGTGTTGAGCTAGTAATCTTTGCTGCTGCTGCTCCTCTTTGCTTCTTGTTTATTCCACCCCATTATAACTAGCTCTGGGATCTGAACTTTATCCTTAATACTACTTGACCTTATTTTTTTAGAAGATTATTCACAGACGTCCCTGATGTTTGTCATGTCATGTGCGGAGCCCTTGGGCTAGACCCCATCTCCGGGAGGGAGCTGTGGCAGAGCCTGCATAACCCAGAGCTCCTCCTGGTTAATTCCTGCCACCTGGGGAAAGGAGAACGTGTTTATGTGATGTACAGTAAACAGATGCTCAGGCATTAGTGATAGGAACGGGCTTTGCTGAATGAGGAGATGGTGAGCAAAGGGCAGCTTTGATGCAAGCATCAATCGGCAGAGATCCATGAGCCTATGGAAGCACTTAACAGCTTGTGGACAGTTAGCAGGCTTCATACTCTCACCTCTCTGTGTCTTGCATTACCAGCAAGGCAAAATATATGCTCCTTACAGCAGTACGTGGGACTTTTGACATTTCTTGAGCTGATTTGTTTTCCTCAGTGTAAAGAAATAACACACAAAGCAGTTCTGTGATGGAGCATTTCCTAAATGGATGTAACTTGGCAAACAGTGCAGCTATTAGTTTTCCTTAGATAAGCTGGTATCAAAAGTACCTGGTTTTGAAACTTGGCACTTCTCTCCTGCATCTTTCAAAGCTCACTCAAAAATGCCCGTGCCGGAAGGTTGATGCCACAGTATTTTGGGGGGATTAAGTCGTGTAGTGAAGATAAATACTTATTGCAGGTGAGGAGGTCGGAAAAGCATCTCAAAGATAAGGCTGTTTGGCAAAGCTTTCTCCTCCCAGAGCTCTCCGCATCCTCCCTGTCAGTGCCGTGCTGTGCTCCGTGTAGCCGGCAGCCCTGGCAAGGCTCAAGGGGGAAACTCAGCCTGTCCTGCCCTTGCTTTCCAGCGTTGTGTGAGAGGTGTGCAGGAGCAGGCGGGTGGTTGAAGGAGGCAGGGAAGAGCAGTGCTGCGTTTCCCCTCGGCTCACGCTGCCGTGGGCGCTGCAACTCTCTTCATCCCACCAGTGAGCTGGGAGTTCTAGTGCTATATTTTGCGGGCAGCCTCCCTCTGCTTTGCAAAGATCTCCCATGGGAAAGGGTAGCTGCGCTCAGGGACAGCTGAGGATAAACTTGTCTCTTCATACAAGACTGGGCTGCCTTTACAGTGTGTTTTGCCCTGGTTATTCCCCTTTTTTCCCCTGAGGCTTCTACTCAGCCAGAAGTACTGAAGTTGGGTGGATTAGCTGCATCTGCCTGTGACCTGTGCAGTAAAACTTACCTATTTTCAATTGCAGACTTACAAGCCAGAAATCAGTCCATGGGGTTTATGTGGGATGCTAGTCACCCTAGCACATCTGGGAGAGGAGATGTTTCGGTTTTGGGAAGGACACCATAACTCACAGCAAGACCCTTGTTTGTGAGCAGGCCCTGGGACGTCAGCTACAAGGACAGGTCTCCTGTAGCCAGCTCTGTCCAGGGAGGTGGAAATTTAATGTGTGTTAGCAGGCTCCTGGCAGGCGCAGTTTTTCACGTCTCGCTCCTTGGGGCTGAGCTATGGGGGCTTTGTGCTGGGAGCCGCTTTCCCCTTCCAGGGGCTTTGCTTTGCAGCAGAGAGGTCCTTCCCCTTGCCGAGGAACGTCCCCAGTCCTGAAGCGCCAGCTCTCCTCACCTTGAAAACAAGGAGCTAATTGTTTTTCCACCTGCTGTCTCCTACCTGCTGGTTTTGCCTGGGCACAGGCAGCCTGTGCCTCCTCTACCCGCACGGAGATAGAGAGAGCAGCTTTGCACAGGCCAGCGGCCGGACCTGGGGTGAAGTGACCTGCCAGATGGCAATCTGGAAACACCATTAAAATAAAAATGGATTGGGAAGAGCAGGCCAATGAGGAAGCATTCAGTCACGGGGAAGGTCAGAGGTTAATTGCCTCCTTGCCTACCCATGCTCTGCGAGATACAGTGCGGGGCCTCCACTGCAGCCGGGGGAAAATCCAAAGGCAAAGGGCAGAGCCCTCGTTCCTGTAAAAGTGTACTGGAATAGCTCAAAGGGCATGGGAGCACCACAGTCGTGGAGCCAGTGATGGCTGCGGTCTGCCCTTAGCTCTGTAATGCCTGCAGACTCCCTGGGCTTCTCTATGCCTTGGAAAACACGGAAGGCTGGAATTGCTCCCATCCCCCAAAAGGAAAGGGCTAAAAATTTGGGTAATGGAAATGTGTCTGTCGGAGCAACCTTGGGAGCACCTGCCGGGTACAGCCAGTGGTGTGTGACTTTGGTCCAGTGACCTGAGAAACCTAGAGAGACAGCTTTTCTAGGAAAGCTAGTTCAAGGCAATCATGCTGTTTGTAACGTGGGTCTTGTCCTGGTTTTAGCCTTTTTTAGCAGGCTGGACATCCCAGAAATAGAGGGCGTTTGTAAAAAGACACCTGCCTTGAGGAAAGATTAGTTCTCTGGTGTGGGAAAAGCTTCATCAAAGCACACCCTTCCTCTGAAATCCTGAGTGGAGATAAGACACAACCCCAGAGCTGGTGAAGCCTCCCTGGTTTCTCTGCTTATGGGGTGACTTGTTGTTTCTTCCAAATTCCTGGTGCACAGCAGACAGCTTGGAGGGGCTCAGCTGTGTCTGGAGTCTGCGCATCTTTGAGGTATGAACCTAGGTTAGCAGCTGCCGAAATGTTGGTGCCCTCAAGTGTACCCTGAGCATGGAGACGACAGGCTGGTAGACTGGATTGCTTGGGATGACTCTGCAGACTGGCTAATGTGGTTGCAGCTCAGTTTGTCCATGTAAAGGTGTTTGGGGTCCTCTGGT